TGGACCTCTAACCATGACAGCACACTGGCTCATAAGCTGCATGTGAACTCTTCAGCCAAACAGTAGCACACAAGCAGGAGATGAATTTCATCATTCTGAATGAGTCCTGAAAGACAGGGGGATAGCCTGCATCTACTGACTTGACAGAACTTACCAGTTTCTTCGCTTCAGCCCCACTTTTTATTTTGCTTGGATACTTGGATATTACAGAAGCAGCTTTCCTACGTAAAGCAAAGAAAATTGTGCATTCCAAACTCCTCCATAAAGTAAACATTAGCATGAAATAGACACAAAATGCACCCCACAAATCCAGTCAAGACCAATTCTCCTCCAAAATACTATCAATTACAGGGAAGGAATAACAAGAGACTAAATACAGCTTTTCTCTTTTCCAGGTGTATACACCAACATTTGTAGCAAGTTCTATAGACTGCCAAATTGCAGTTTTGTGAACGTCTCAACTGAGCCAGAAGAGAGGGTTTTGTCCTACCTTTATCCAGCTCTCAGCATTACTGCATCTTCTGGTCAACAGGCCAATCTTTTTACTTTTATATAGGACCAGTATGTTATCAGGTTTCCTACTTTGTGATGTTCTGTCCCCCCATCCCCTACAAATGTTCAAAGACATGAGCCTTGCCATATCCAAGGTATGAGAATGAGTTTTACCAGTCCTATAAAAATCCCTAAACACACCCCAGCCAATGCTCCCTCTAAGCTCTGTGTTCACCTTACATGAACACAGCAAGAGGGAACTAGAACTTGTGTCCTCTCCTGTGCCAATCTCATCATCACCAGTGCAAAATTTCTGTCCTTCCATTGTTGTGTTTAGTACATCACAAAACCGGTTGGAGAAGCAGCGGAGGTGAAGGACAGAGAGGCTTCAGAGGAAGATACAGAGCAAGGGGAAGGAAGGCAGGAATGTGACCGGTGATGGACTGGAAATGGAGAGGATGTGAAGAAAGCAAAGGAGGAGAACGGGAAATAAATTTAAAAAGGGAAGAAGAAAAGAGTGTGGAAGAGGTCAGGAAGTAGAGGAGCAAGCAGATACCATGTTGGAGATGGCTGGAGTATACATAAATACGGTGCCATGGCATGAAAACCACATGTCAGTAAAGCAAATCAGCTACAAACTTACTCTGAAGACCTCTACTGACTAACATTCCAGTTAGCTCACAGTGCCTGTTCCCAGGAAGGGTGGGATATAAATTGAAACAACAACAACAACAACAACAGCCCCCAAAAGAACAGGCCTTACCTGTAGGCATTGTACTTGTGGATGGCTCTATTCACATTCCTCTCATAGTTGGCGAGTTCTGAAAAGAGGATTCTTTTTAGTCCTGAGCAGTCGCACAAATTAAAACACTACAACATGGGCAAAGTCAAGCATATGTAAATGCCATTAAGTTCTGTGGAACATCTTAGCCATCCCGAAACCCAGTAAACCAAAAAGTGACAAATCCCTGCAAAGCTGACAGCCCATAAAAAAGGACACACACACCCCTCCAGCTCCAAAATGGAGCAAGCAAATAAAGTACTAGGAGGAAAGTAACAGATGCTGCTCTGAGGCAAGGGCCAAAGAACTGCTGGCCACTGCCCCACCTGGGCAAAACTGAAGAATCCCCCTCACTCCAGGCTGTACAAAGCGAAAAGCTTCTAAACCAAACGTTAGGCGTTTGGGCTGCATTTTCTTTTGCCAAAAATCGGCAGCCGAGGCAGGGGACAGGATCCAGCACCCTCCGGCACAGCTGTCCCCCACATTGCCAAGCTGAACCCTGCCCCGCAAAAGCGATCCGGGAGACCAAACCCTGTGTGAAATGGGATCAGCAGCTCCCCGGAGAGTTAAGCTCATCTGCATTCAACAGTTCACATCCGAGTAAACACACAAGAGTACCTACCAGTCAGGAAGTCCGTGATACCCTCGTTGGGGTTCTCCTGCGGAGCCTTCCGCTTGCTCATGTCGCCGCCGCCGCCAGCCAAGCCGAAGCTGCAGCCTCCGCCGACCGAGCTCGCCACCGAGCAACGGCATCCGCTTCCGGTTGCCCAGCTTCCGGGAGGGGCGGCTGCGAACAATACGCGCAGCCCCGAGGCCACGAGTGATGGGCGCATCGCTTGTCGCTTTCCTTCTCCAGCCGTAGAAAGGCTGCGGCTCCAACTCCGCATTAAGCTTGCGGAGTAGAGCATCCGGCCTGTAATTTAGTCAACGCACTGCGAGCGTGGTTTTGTCGGCCAGTTAGTGTGTGGAGCCACACAGGACTTGGATTGAAGCCGTTTTAGGGTGAGCCCTGTCCTGTCAAACCACGAGGAGTCCTGAGACTTATTCTAGGGTCAGCCGAGTTGAACAAAATCGGTACTTGTATTTGTGCATTTGTGCAATTTTCCAAAACTGAACACAAGAGCTGTGCTGAATCGAACCAACATCCGGTTTCACACCGCAGCCAACCAGTTTCCCCGGAGGACCAACGAAGAGGGCACAGAAGCCCAACGTTGCCTCGTAGCCACTGGTATTCAAAGTTTTGCTGCCTGTAAATGTGGAGATTCCGTTTGGTCACTTCATGAATCTCTTTAATCTGGCCACCACTACATCTACTGGCAGTGAATTAGCCAATTTTATTACTAATTTAACTTAATGAAAATGAGAGTCCAGTGTCACTTTAGAGGCTTAACACATTTTCCCACACAGCATAAACTTTGGCAGAATATATTGTACATCTGCTTTATTTTGTTGATGCAGACTAACATGGCTATCCAACTGGAATAATCATTTAACTTAGTAACTTTGTACACAGAGGTTCTCTTTAGTCATTGTGACTAATGGTTATTGTTGAATCCACTTTTAAAGCCAACTACATTAATTGCCATAACTACATCCCACAGATATTATGAAAGAGGAGGGAAATGTTTATAACCCTCCAACTGGGTTCTGGCCCTCTTCGTACTGTGAAAGCAGCTGTAACCTCTGTATATGAAGACCTAATGCCTAAAAATATTTTTCGAATTCAGAGGTAGAACCTCTCTCAATATCACTGCTAGGTGGCAACAATAGAGACAGGCTTTGGCCTCCATGCCCTGCTTGTGGGCCTTCCTCGTTACCTGTACATGAAGCTGCTTTATACTGAATCAGACTACAGTACTATCAAGGTCTGATTGGCAGCAGCTCTCTAGGGTCTTAGGCAGAAGTCTTTCTCATTATCTGCTGCCTGATCCTTTTAAATAGAGATGTTAGGGACTGAACCCAAGACTTTTTGCATTCAAGGAAGATGCTATACCACTGAGTCACAGCCCATCACTGTGGATATGATTTGCCACTGTGTAAAACAGGATGCTGGACTAACAAGAACCCTTGATCTAATCTAGCATGAGCTGCTTTTATGTTCTTATGAAGATAGTAGCAAGGCTGTAGCAGAGCCATTACAAAATTGAAGATCTATGGAAAAGACACAGATGGTGCTTGTTTATGGGGATGTTTATTTTCATTTATTTAAAACTTATCTATACCCCTTTCTACCCAATTCAGGTTCCCTGAGGATCAAGCATTAAAAAAGCATTTACAATATAAAATATTTAAAAGTTAAATAAAACATAATAATAACATGTAAATATGTAAATATGTATAAAGCACACACAAACAGGGAGGTGGGCTAATAAGAGTTAGTGAGGGACTGCCAAACAAAACAAAAATGTCTGCATGTGCTGGTGGAAGATGACAATAGTGGGAGACAGATAAATCTCCCTGGGGAGGGAGTTTCAAAGTTTTGGCACCATGACCGAGAAGGCCCTTTCTTGGATTGCCACCCTAGATGCTCCAGATGGCAGGGGCACCCCAAACAGGGTTTCTGAAGATGTCTGGAATAGTCACGTAGGAAGAACGTCATTCATGTTGCCCCATGCAGTAAAACTGGGCAAATGGGAAGTGTGGAAAGATGGTCTCTGTGCCTGTGTTCTCACCCCAGTGGCTGGACTCTTATTTTGTTCTACTGCTTCAGACGAACACAGCTGACCACCTGGATCTGTGTTCTCACCACTTAAGGCATCTCTTCTGACTCAGAAAAAAAATATATAAGCATACTATACAGGCAGGCAACTTTCTTGGTTTCCTAGTTAACCCGTGTACCTTACTGGCTCAGCATTGCCCACTGCTGCAAAGTAAGGTTCAGACGGATGACACGACCTCATATATGGTTAACATGGTAATAGTAATATACTTTATTGTCATTGTACATAGTACAACGAAATTAAGATGCAATCATTTCGGTGATCTACAACAATATTCATATACACTCACACAACCATTCACTACTATCTCATAACTCCCTTAAGGTTCACATAGCAACTTAAAACCACTAATGTCACCCAAATTCCAAATTCATACAGCATTTAAGGCAGTAATAGCTCTCGAATAAAAACTATTTTTTAATCTGTTTGTCCTTGTTTTAATGGGCATGCATGAGGAAGGCCACTCAGGCCACCATTCTTGGCAGAACCATCCCATGAACTGGGAGGAGGGGGGATTTTGCTTATGAACCACCTTGCACAGGTTTGGGCGAAGAAAGGGTTCCTGGCACCTAGCTTCTCTGGAAAAGCCAGACGCTCTCATGGTAACTTGCACTGCCACTTCTTGTGCTCAGTTGGTGCACTTTTATTATACGGAGGCCGTCCAGATTAGGGGGAAAGGAAGGCGGGACACAAATGACCACTAGGAAGCAGAACAAGAATGGAGCACCCGTCATGTTATCGTGTGACCGTCACCCATTGCCTGGTTCATACAGACGGTGGGTCGTTCCCTGACCGCAGTAATCCATCAGAAAACCAGCTCTAGGCTTGCCCTGCCCCCTGTCAGCATGCTGTATGTCGTATTCTCGAGTTACAAAGAGTTATTTTCAACCAAGGGGGCCACTCCAACATGCACCTTCAAAATGACGGCTTCCGCGTGGAATCCGGAAGTGAAGGTTCTTGTCTTTCCCTCTTTGTTCATGGAGGATTGACTAGAGAGTCCCGGAAGTGACGTTAAGACGTACGCCCAGGAGCCGCTTGACAGGAGACGATGTGAGTTGGCCGGTTGGTGCTATTCCGCGTCTTTTTTTTCCTTCTGTGCCTGACCCCATTTCTGTCTTCTCCTTTTCCCTCGCAGGGCCAAGGTCACCTTTAAGGTCACGCTCACTTCGGACCCGCGGCTGCCTTATAAAGTGTGAGTCTCTCCCTCCCCACCCTGTGAGGCAGCGCTACCTCAATGGTGCGCACGCGCGTCTTCGAGCGACACGTCGCTTCGGAGTGCTGCGGCCCAGCGGCAGTCGCCAAGGGGCGCTATAGGCGGAAAGTCTGAGGGTAGCGGGGCTTGTGAGTGCCTGCGTGCTCAGAGCGCTTCACAACAGCTCTGGCTAGCAATAGCATCATGCTTCTGCAGCATCCTGTCCTGGGAAATCTGGAGTTAAAGCAACATTTTTTTTAAAAAAGGCAGCAGTAAGAGTGCCTCTCCCCGCTGATGTTCTGAACAGTGTCACTTGTGGTTGTTTTTGCCTTGAAGGCTAGGTCTACCCTGCCCTGCCCTTTTGACTGTAGCCTTCTTCAAGTTACAGTGAATGAATGTGTATCCTGCATGGGACATCTCTCTTTATATATAATTGAATAGTGGGTGCCAAAGTTCTAAAATGCACTCCTTTAGTGTATGGACGCTTGAACTGTCAGTCAGAAGACGCTCGCTGGGTTGACTGGCTGCTTTGAGAAAGAGCCAATGCAGGTTCACTTTGCAAAGAAAACTGTGGACTAGTGCTGGGATAAATGTGAGATTTAAATCACACATTCAGTTGTATGTGTGTTGAATGTAAAATGTGGAGGAACAGTAGAAGAGATTGGATTTATACCCCGCCCTTCACTCAGAATCTCAGAGCTGCTTGCAATCTCCTTCCCTTCCTCTCTCCACAACAGATACCCTGTGAGGTAGGTGAGGCTGAGAGAGCTGCTGTTGAGAGAACAGCTCTGAGAGAACTGTGACTGACCCAAGGTCACCCAGCTGGCTGCATGTGAAAGAGGGGGGAAATGAACCTAGTTCTCCAGATTAGAGTCCTGCCCACTCTTAATCACTACAGCATGACTCAACACACATATAAAGGAAAACCAAGTGTACCCTGTACATGGATTCACTGTGACTTGTAAATGGAGCTAGTGTGGAAGGATTTGGAGATGGGAAGTCTCCATTTGCAAGACATTTCTGGCTTCTCAGGCCGTGCTGTTCCTCAGTATGTTTGATTGTGAAATGTTCTAATGTAGCCAAGATAACTTTTTTATGGCTTTCTATGTGTTGCAGGTTAAGTGTGCCTGAAAATACACCGTTCACTGCTGTCTTGAAGTTTGCAGCGGAAGAAGTAAGTGGGTTTCTGGCAGTGTCCTTGTGCATCTGCTGCTTTATTTGTTTGTTTAAAAATCCCCAAAGCAGACAATGAGAAAATCACTGTAAACTTTGTTGGTCTTAAAGGTGCCACTGGACTCAAACTTTGTTGTATTGCTTCAGACCAACATGGCTACCCACCTGAATAATTTGCCCAGTCTGTGATAAGAGTTTCATTAATAGAAATGCACAAGAAGGGATTGTTACACCACGTTCTGTTTTTAACGTGTTCTGGTTCTGCTTCCTTTAGTTCAAAGTTCCTGCAGCAACAAGTGCAATTATAACAAACGGTGAGTTGTTTTTTGTGCACTACAGCTCAGATTCTAAGGCTCAATGTCAGTGCTCAGAAGAGCTAGAGCAGGAGCCCCCCCCCCCCACAGTCCCAGGTGATAGAGCACCATTCCAGAAGCACTGCTGAGTTTTCCTGGTCATGCATCCAAACCAGCAAGAAAGTGGTGGTAGAAGGGAACAGCTGGTGGGGAAAGCTGGGCAGGCAACTGACTGTGGCATGGCCTTCACTTTGCTTTCCTTGCTATCTGAAATGTTCTTTCCATCAGAGTTTCAGCCTCATGGGTAGATGGTGCCTATAAACACCCCCCCCCCCAACACATACACACACACACACTTATTACTGTTTAAAAAGGCTTCATTGGCATTTGCCAGACAGTATGCCTGATATTGTATGTATTTGTGTATAAATTTTATTTGTTCCCGTCTTTTTCCAGATGGAATAGGAATAAACCCTGCACAGACAGCTGGTAAGTAGCAATCTGGGGTCTGGTTTTTAAAAGCCGAGTATTTTCTAATAAAGCTGTTCTCAAAAGGGGATATATCCCACAGATCCTTGTCTTTCTCTTTCCATTCTATTTGTAGCAAGCTCTGCTATTCCTTATTGCATCCCATCATTTCTATTAAGGCCATATCTTTGTGTGGAGTGGCCTTAATACAAAGAACGAGTATCCCTGTGTATCTTTTATTGAGGCTTGCTGGACAACTTAAAATGGGCAGTGGCCACTCTGACTACCCCGTGCTCAGGTTACTTCCAGTCACAGAAATGTAACTGGATTAAAAGTATAAAACACTAAATGTACACTTTAAGCAGTAAGTGGTGTTCTTTTATTCTTCATTAGGAAATGTTTTCCTGAAGCACGGTTCAGAATTACGGCTCATTCCCAGAGATCGTGTTGGACGATGTTGGCCTGGGCTTGTGACAAAAGAATATAAATAGTGGACAGCTTGATCAGTAAGCATCTTCACCTCAGACAATTAGCCTCCCTTACCATAATGCAGAGTTATCTTCCAATTATACTTCCCTGCAAAATCACTGCACAGCAGCTTGTCTGCTAAGAATGGCCTTGGAAGCTGGATGTGCTGTCTTGCGTCTCTCATCTGTTGGAAGTTTAACTGTAAGAGAGAGCTGTACCATCTTCCTAGTGGGAGAGGACTTCAAAATGGGAGCCTCTCTCTGGTATCGGAATAGTTGCTCCAATCCAGTGATTCCGTGCAGGTGTGGAGGCCCCAGGGCTCACGCAAAGTTCTGCCATTTTGCTTTCCCATTCAGTTAGATGTAACATGCTGTCTGTGGCCCTGTGCCAAAGTTTCTGAAGTGAACAGGAAAAGTCTGCTCATTTTGTGAGCTTCCCATTTGCATTGGAGCACTGGAATTGTGCTTTGGCCTGGAGACTTTAATCTCGAGCTATCAGAATGTCTGTAACTATTTTAAGAACATCTTCACTTTGATAGGCTTTTGTGGAGAACAATGTATGTACATCATTGTATAAACAGGAAAACATGAAAGTATGGGAAAGTCAAGAACTCTGGCATTTATGGCATTTGTCCCCACAGTGTCTGGTATCTTTCAGTTAAACTCTTTGGATTTGCACCTCTACCAAGAATTTTGTACAACATTCCAGCAAAAATAACTAAAATTATTCATTCAAAGGCTGTTGTTCTGTGAAGAGAAATAACGCTGGTAGTCTGTGTTTAAAGTTACTATACTTTTCTCCATAGAAATCACTGGCTTGTTTATTTAAGGTGTCATACTGTAGGTTCAAGATTGCCTGTCTCTTACCATGAAATGCATTACTACATTTTACACTGAATGGCTAATAAATATTTTTCTGTGTATGATTGAACTTGTTGAGCTACTTGATGCAAAAAGCAGGGCAGGTGATGCTGGCAAGTATTTGAAATGCGGTGGGAAGGTATCAGACTGAGATCCCCAAACCATATCATTCCAAATCCCTCTGTATTTTTGGCGTGTTTCATTGTAATTTAGCCTTATTTTTCCTTTCCTTCAGCACCCACTTACCACATTTGGGTTGGGGAGTGAGAAGGAAACCAACTTCTGCCAGTCTTCTCAGTTAAACTCATCTTATATTGCTATGGAGCCTCCAGTGCAGAGGGAGTTTCTCTGTTCTGTAGTTCTGAGGGGGAATTTGTGTTCAGGAGAACTCTTGGTAAAACAAGTTTCATCTGAGTTCTCTGAATTACAAATTGGGACAGGGAGATTTCTTCACTGGGAGACTGGAAGCTTTAGAGGATAGCCATTCAACTGCATGCACAGGATCTGCCGTGCAGGTGCTCCGTGCTTTCCGAAGAGAGTTCAAAGTGTTCCTGTGCCTTCCTAAATTCCCAGTACAACTATGTTGACTCTCATCTCTCCAAGAAGCAGTATTAGCATGACAACTTTGTGCTATCAAAAGATGTGGCTGCTGGTATTTCTAACCAGCCCATCTTGATTTCACAGGTAGACAGCCATGATGCCTCTTTTACAGCGCAATCCTAAAAACAGTTTCCTAGGAGTAAGTGCCATTGAGTAGATGTCTGTGGGATTTTGAGTCAGCCTGCTAAGGATGCACTGTTAGACACTCCACTATACCTTGACCACCTCTCCCCAACCAGTGCTCCCTCTAAACTGTTGGGGTCTTGTAAGCAAAAATTCTACTTTGTGAGCAACTGGCATTAAAGTTGTGATCAAGTGATTTGGCTAGTGCATAAATTAGTTTGCTCTGGAGCCATCCTTCCTGAGCGAAGACAAAAATGTGTGAGTCAGAGGGTAAGAAACTAAGCTAGTTTACACTAACTCATCTTAGAGGGAACACTGCTCCCAGCTATATGGAAGACTTTGTTTGTAAGGCTGGTGTCTCCTTAGCCCCAGCTGCGGAGCTTTTGGTGGGTTTAATCTTAACCTGTAGCAGCTCTACTACTCCAGGTCAAGATGTCTCTATATAATCCCCCCCATAAATAAAATTTTAACTAGCTTCCCTATACTGGGAATACAACACCTTCTATGCCTGCAAATTCTTCCAGGATGAGATGTGTTAGATGTCCACAGACAGAAATTAAAAGTATTATGTACACAAAAAAGAGTTTATTAAAAGTGACCAATGAACAAAACAAAGCATCCTCCCAGTACAGAGGACAAAAATTGGGAACGATACTCTTGTTCCCACAACCAAGTTTCATTTTCCATAGCAAAGGCAAAAATCAAGTTAACAGTAACAAAGCATGGAGTTGCTATGGCTTCTGGCTGAGGGCAGGCCCAGCAGTGGCTATGATAGAGGAGCTGGCCAGGTTACTGCCCAGTGTTATAAGTGTGGTGCCAGGTGCAGCAGGCAACATGCCCTGGGGCAGTAAGTGTCTGTTAGTAAGAGACTCCCGGGTGTGGATGATGGTGCTGCTATCATCCATGACGGAAGGCACCCTGCCCAGGGTCTCCAGAGCACCAACCGCATGCCCTTTGGTCAGATTAACTTTCTCTCCCCTCTGCCCGAGAGCCCGGTCACCCTTCATGGCCGTTAGTGTAGAGGTCAGTATAACGGTCTTGGATGTTGTCTGTAAAACAGGTCCTACTTTGGAATGCACTAGGCTGCAGGGTGGGCTGGAATTACTGGCTGGTGTGGTGGTGGCAAAAGTCACAGCTCCAAGAGGGGCAGCAGCAGAAGAGGATACAGCAGTGGTTTGGATTGCTGTGGGCTTCAGTGGGACAGAAGCAGCTTCTGCCATGACGGATTTTGTGAGTGCCGACAGCTTGGCATCTGACATCACATACAGAGTCTTCATGGGGCTTGTGGTGGTTACTGCTGAGGGAAGAGACAAGATGACTGCTTCAGTTGGCTCCTCAATACTTCAAAGCCTGAACAAAACAAGCAAACCAGCTAGCTGCTGGCAGCCCCAGCCTTCCACTTATCAGCAACCCTATTTGTGGACTTTCCAAAGAAATGCATCTCCCCCCCCCGGTGATTTTCAGACCAGTGTGTGTCATGGTCCTCCCCCCTCCCATCTTCAACTCTATCTCTTCCTACACAACAGCGGAAACCAGTGAAAAAGCAAAAGGGAAGATGAGTGGTGAGACTGTATTTGCCCTTCCTGCCTCCAGATACGGGGGTGGCCAGGGCAGGTTAAGTACCCCCGCCCCCTTCATCATCTCTTGTTCCCCCCAGGAGAAAAAGCAAAGGATTACAGCTGGGAGGACAGCACTGCAAAAAAGTAAAAACCTATGCCATGATCCTGGGTAGTGCAGACACACTGAAACCCCAAGTAGTCTCTGCAGTATACAGGACCTCTCCCCCCCCCCAGACAAGCCTTCCATTTGTTCCATTTAAATGAACATAACTAGAGGTGACAGAGCTAAACATGATCTGTTTGGATTGCTGAATGTAAATGCATGCTATTAGTAAACATGAACATCAGTGGTTCTATTAAGTTTGATTCAAGAGACAAGCCCACTCAGTTCAAGGAGAGCAGAGCTCCACCTTATAAACTTGGCAGGACTATTCCACACTATTTCTTACCAACGGGGAGTGTGACTGAGATTGGCTGAGATACTGGATCAGCAGACGGCATCTCTACACCAGCCTGGCCTTTGCCAAGTTCCACCTGAGACAGTAGTTTGGTGGCAGGCATGGAGCTGGATGCTGGGCTAGTTATGTTTCCAACTGCGCTGTCTGGAACCTAAAAAAAAATTAAACATGTAAAAAGAACTGGAAGCTAAAACACAGGAACAGAAGGCATTTTGGACTACGAATGGCTCACAAGGCTCTTCATTTCTGCTGCACAAACTAAAGCACTAATCCCTCTGGAACTGAGAGATGTCAAGAAGCTAATGAGAAGAGGCCAGTACTGACCATTTACAACTCTGTAAAAGGTTTGTGCAGCAGGCAGATTTGACAGCATTGTATATTTCATTAGGGGAAACCCCCCCAAGTTTCCAGCTTTGAAAGTCTGCAATCATCACCACAAAGCAGGAAGCAAATACACGGAGCTCAGGGCAACATACACTGTTGTCTCCCCATTTATTCTGCCCTCCCCAAAACTCTGTGTAAGTTGGAAAAGGGGGGGGGGAGGATGGTTGTCCCACCCAAAGTCATCCACTTTGAGCTCAGGGCAACATACACTGTTGTCTCCCCATTTATTCTGCCCTCCCCAAAACTCTGTGTAAGTTGGAAAAGGGGGGGGGGAGGATGGTTGTCCCACCCAAAGTCATCCACTTTGAGCTCAGGGCAACATACACTGTTGTCTCCCCATTTATTCTGCCCTCCCCAAAACTCTGTGTAAGTTGGAAAAGGGGGGGGGGAGGATGGTTGTCCCACCCAAAGTCATCCACTGAGTTTTATGGCTGTGATCTGAATCTGGCACCACACTAGCTCTCAAGCCTCAAGGGGCAATTTCTGCGATTTCTCAAGCACCCCATTTGAAAGTTATTCATTCTGGCAGTTAGAATTACCTGGGCTGGCTGTGGTGGGAGCAGGAGCTGCTGCTCTTCCAGCTGGGGCTGGACACTTCCGATGGCAGCCTGACTGAGGGTGGTGACTCGGCTGGCCTGTCCTCGCAGGGTTACGGTGATAGTGGTTGGGGCCTTCAAGCCTGGAAGAGAAAAGGCAACATTCGCTTGCGCAAGGTGACTTCAGAGCATACAGTTCACTATAGACACTGGAGCCACTATGGTTGATGTTTTAAAAATGCTCAAGATAACCTCTTCTAGGGGCAGCTTTCAGACATAGTGGGCTTCCTGCCCATCTGTGCATTGTTGAAAACCATAATCTCAACTTTTTCCCTTGTCTTTTAAAGCAAGCATTCAATACTGCAGAATCACATTTGCGTCTCAGAGCCTTTCTTCCTGGAGCTTAGGCTGGTACACTGAGTTAGGTCACATTATCTCAACAACCTGGTGAAGCAAAGAACTGGTGCCTTGCCCAAGACCACCCAGTGAGTTCCCTGGCTGAGCAGAGATTTGAACCTGGGTCTCCCCAGTCTAAGTCCAGCCATTCCACCACGATGACTCCCTTCATAGGGCATTGAAAGCATGTGCAAACAGCTATCATTTTAGGCTAAAGGCTATTTATGTATATAATTCTGTTTTCAAAGCTGACTTCCGACACACCAGTGCAAATGGCTAAATGAAGAAATGCTCTGCATTCTATAACACTCTCTCTGAGAGTGGCAGTGGAGTCTCAAACTGCTCAAGATTATGTCATTCTCACTGCTGGACCTCCTGATGGCACCTGGTATTTTCGGCCACTGTGTGACAGAGTGTTGGACTAGATGGGCCATTGGACTGATCCAACATTGGCTTCTCTTATGTTCTTACTAGATTATCCTTAACGCTCACCAGATAACCTCAGCACACCTACTGGTGAAGCAAAATGTGGTGCTAGTTCAGGAAAAACCACCTTGGAAAGGAACTGCTCCCTACTTTGCTGTCGTAGTGTGACTCTTACCTGCCCCCTGACCGGAAATGTGAGCCAAGCCAGGAAGGCTGCTTGCAAGCTTTGCCAGCCCCCCATTTGTGAGCAGCTGATGAATGGTGGTGGGCTTTGCACTTGCTGAAGCTCCAAGGGATGATAAAGATGTGGCTACCGGGATCGTGCGAACAATTGTTCCTGTACTGGTGGTTATGGCATTTAAGCTCTGGACGGGTGCAGAGGTCTTCAGGGCTGAGGTCTGCAAGGTTTAGAAAGAACAGGCTGTGGCAGTGGGACAAGACTAGGCACCACTTTCCTTCATCTTATAAAACATCCAGAAGTTTAAACAAGGTCTATGCGGTCTGATGCCTCAGCATTTGTTTCACGCACTTGCACCTCAACC